TGTGTGTTACACAAGCTGTGTGTTACACAAGTGTTAATATCATATATACAGCTGTGTGTTACACAAGTGTATCATATATATACAAGTGTACGTATATATACAGCTGTGTTACACAAGTGTTCATATCATATATACAGCTGTGTGTTACACAAGTGTACGTATTTTATATACAGCTGTGTTACACAAGTGTTCATATCATATATACAGCTGTGTGTTACACAAGTGTACATATCATGTATACAGCTGTGTTACACAAGTGTACATATCATATATACAGCTGTGTGTTACACAAGTGTACGTATCATATATACAGATGTGTGTAACACAAGTGTACGTATATATACAGCTGTGTGTTACACAAGTTGTGTGTTACAAGTGTACGTATCATGTATATCATATATACAGCTGTGTGTGTTACATATATACAGCTGTGTGTTAATATCATATATACAGCTGTGTGTTACACAAGTGTACGTATCCTATATACAGCTGTGTGTTACACAAGTGTACATATCATGTATACAGCTAAGTTACACAAGTGTACATATCATATATACAGCTGTGTGTTACACAATGTGTGTAACACAAGTGTGTATATATATCATATACATACAGCTGTGTGTTACACAAGTGTACGTATCATATATACAGCTGTGTGTTACACAAGTGTACGTATCATATATACAGCTGTGTGTTACACAAGTGTACGTATATATACAGCTGTGTGTTACACAAGTGTACATATCATATATACAGCTGTGTGTTACACAAGTGTACGTATATATACAGCTGTGTTACACAAGTGTTCATATATATACAGCTGTGTGTTACACAAGTGTAGGTATCATATATACAGATGTGTGTAACACAAGTGTACGTATCATATATACAGATGTGTGTAACACAAGTGTACGTATATATACAGCTGTGTGTTACACAAGTGTTAATATCATAAATACAGCTGTGTGTTACACATATACAGCTGTGTGTGTACAGCTGTGTGTATATATACAGCTGTGTGTGTGTTACATACATACAGCTGTGTGTTACACAGGTGTACATATCATATATACAGCTGTGTGTTACACAAGTGTACGTATATATACAGCTGTGTTACACAAGTGTTCATATATATACAGCTGTGTGTTACACAAGTGTACGTATCATATATACCGCTGTGTGTTACACAAGTGTACGTATCCTATATACAGCTGTGTGTTACACAAGTGTACATATCATGTATACAGCTGTGTTACACAAGTGTACATATCATATATACAGCTGTGTGTTACACAAGTGTACGTATCATATATACAGCTGTGTGTTACACAAGTGTACATATCATATATACAGCTGTGTGTTACACAAGTGTTAATATCATATATACAGCTGTGTGTGTTACGTATAATATATACCGCTGTGTGTTGTTCGTATATATAAACAGCTGTGTGTTCAAGTGTTTATATTATATATACAGTATATATACAGTTGTGTGTGTTACACATATACAGCTGTGTGTTACATAAGTGTTCATATCATATATACAGCTGTGTGTTACACAAGTGTCCATGATGGCAGACGGCATAGAAATATCGGTAGCCATTGTTCTGGGGGCAAATTCAGGAGCGTAGCTAGCCCAGCAGAAATGTGTAAGCCCAGGCGAGAGGTCTTGGGCCGCCTAGGCCCCAAGAGGGTCCATAGCAGGGCGCTGGTGGGGGGATCAGGGGACGTGTCACTTTTAGTGTGGTCACTCGATTCGATTTTATTTTGTTTGAAAAACTTGTCGATCGACGTCTGTAATCCTGAAGCATTTTGAAAATTTGCACTTTAACAACATTATAATCGGAAACGTTGAAATGATAGTAAGAATTAGAATAGTATGCCGTGTGTAAAGTTCCGGAAAGCAATGCACTAGGCCTAGTTATTCAACAATTTTCTATTTATATTTTTGTATGTATCAAAAATATTAGATATTCATTTTCAACCTTAGTTTTGTAATTTTTTCCGACATACTCTATGCAAGGATTTTTTATGTGTAAGCCTGGGATTTTTTTTCTATGGAAGCTACGCCCCTGGCAAACATATGGATTCACTTTATTCGCTATAGAAAAGTATAGAGAATGAATAGTTAAGTTATAACAGAAAAGGTTCTTTCTACAATTTGAAATGATTGAGTTTTAACATAAGTAATGACACACTTATATGATACTGATTAGAACAAGTATTTTCATAATTACTACCGCTATAACAGACCAACACTTCTTAAGCTGTCAGTATATTCTGTATATAATATTTATCAGGTTACAAATTGATTTCGACACATTTGTCCCTAGTCTTTCTTTTATTTCGATGATGTTTTTAATTACTCTGTATTCTAGCCTTTAGAATTAGTGTACAGGTACTTCGATGCGTGTAAGAGGTACTAAGGGAGACAATGCAATGTTTCAGTTCCATACTGCAGATCTACCCGGATCTACAGTGGATTAAAGACTGGCTCTAGAGTTGGACAACGTACTGCCGTGTGTCAGAAACATTGAAAAATAGAAAATAATAAACACTATTTAATTGTGGTCACTTTTAGGGAGTTGTCTTCTTATGAATTGGATATGCTATCGTACACTATTAATGACGTCATATAAATTCATATATAGCAGGTTAGCACGAGTTATTTCCCTTGGCTTCCTGTTAGAGTTGTCTCGCATCGAATCGTAAATATATAACAGCTACATGTTGAAGTTTCAAAATAAAACGTAAAAAATGATATGTTCTTATCATTACTGGAAATTCCATGAGTAAATTGAAAGGAGCCTTACAAACAATTACAGCTAGTTCGAGTTGACATCAACAATGCACGTATGGACAGGCATATTACATCTGGCCCCACTTGTATAAAACATCTCAACTTGAGATTTCCTCAAGTCGAGATTTTCCTCAGCTGGTATCTCCTCAAAAACGGCTTGTATGAAATTTTCTCAAGGAACAGGAGGAAGGCATCGGCTAGGATGTCCTCAAATTCCTTGAGGAATTTTCATACAAGATATTTTCAAGGATATCGGTTATTTCCCTTTACTGTTATAACCTCTTGGAATGAGATGAAGAGGAGAAGAGAATGTGTTTGTGGGTAATGGTTGCTAATGCCCCATTAAGTTGGAAACCAATATCTTATATTTGTTTCTATATATGGCAGCGAAGAAGCTTACATATCCTGTTGTATACACGCAAAACATTTTTCCGCACAACAAAAAACATCAAGAAAATACCGACATGTCAACATAAACATAATTTAAACTAAAATTCAATAAAAATACGGAAAATGTAAACAAAAGAAAGATTTACATGGAGACACCTGAAAAGGTACAAGAGTAAACATCTTCTGCTTCATCGACGACACCCGTTATGTAAACCTTGGTTAATAAATGTCACGCTTTCAAATGAGAACAATGCATACAACAACAGAACCAATAGGCAAGCTAACGAGCATCAAATACGCCCAGCTTTATATCGCACAAAGAAATAGAATATTTTTCAACGAGATCACGATAGTGACTATCAACCTTCCCATAACGTTTTAAAACCCAGTGTTATGAGTTTGTCCGTCAGTTGACATCTTCTTGCACGAAAAATGTGATAGTGGCAACAGGCCATTGAATATCGAATCAATTGCGACTTGTAAACACCTCAACTTGCGGACGCAGGTATGTTTCTATCCAGAAAAGGGAAAAAAGGGAAATTGAAATTGTTGAACCTACTTGGCAAGGTCTTCGTGACCTGTTTTGATAAGCTCGTCATTAAATTCAGCCTCGTATGAAAACAATAACAAGTCGACCAACTTAATATTGCGATTTTCTTGTTCTCTTTATTGAAGTTTTGATTTTACTACTGGTCTTTTTTTCAAAATGACATCCCACAATAAAGGACCTCTTTCACGAACGATGGAATTTTGCCCACGACACGATTTAATCCAAACCATGTGGCATGTATAGCACCCCAATACACCCCCCGGAAATAGCACTTTAAAAATTCAAAAGGCCCATAGGGCCTGAATTATTATAGAATTTGTGACATTTACTAAGGGTGTAAGGTAAGGTTCACAAATGGCTCCATAACAAAGCAAGGGTTCATCGCAAGGCTTCTTATAACCACTTATTTGTTCATTGGAATCTATTTGTCATTTTAAGCAAACATTATTTGTCAAATTTGGCATAAGAAAAAAGCTATGATCAATTAAATAAAGAAAAATGTGATTTTTTCTTGATTTTTAGAATAAAGTTTGATCTTAGGAGGAGTGTTTCAAACTCTTCCGGTTTCGGTGCACCCAAGCGCTTTTAATATAATTTGGCCCCTTATATTTGCTGTTCTTAGCCAAAACATTGAAAAAATTCGTGACCGGTAAGTTTGTCAATTAGCCGCTTAATTGCGTGGAGTCAGAATCTCGAAAGTGACGTCATGTGATTGATATGATGTTGTGAAGTATTTCTTATCTTGGTTTTTGTTCTTCAAAATATGAAACAGAGATAAAGAGAGTTTAGAGATGACACTGGATATAAAACATATTTGCAAGTAAAGTAATACCACCAATGGAACCGGAGAAGGAGTTAATTTTAAAATGTGTTTTCAAAATGGCGTTCATGACTGCCATATTGGATTTCAAGACAATCCGAAAAATTATAATACTTTGTTGACTGTCTTAAATTAATACCTCCATCAATTTTCAGTTAAATGACACCAGTCAAATGTGTTTTTCAAAATGGCGGGGATATTGGACTTCAGATTGGACCGAAAAATATCGATACTTAGTCAGGTCCATATCAGGATCATTTCAGGCAAGTTTCAGCTGAAACTCATTGGTGGAACTTGAAAAGGAGTTTTAATCTTAAAATATTTTTAAAAAAAACTAATGCCCAACCATTGCTAGAAAATGACGACATTGCATATCCATGCATCTTGTCCACTTAGTATTAACGAAAAATAAATCCATGCTATGATTAATTCATACTTACATCAGAGTCTGTTTCCAAACAGCTACCAGTGAGTTGTCGCATCCTCAGCTTCTCCCTCCTTTGTCGGCATTCTTTCCTTCTCTTCGTCAGTTCTTCTTTCCTTTCTTCCTCTAATTTGTCTAAAATTTTCAGCAGGAACGTCATCACTGGGTCATCTTCTGACGTCATACTGTCATGGAAACGAACCATTCGTTTAGAAGCTGTGTTTCTCCCTGGTAGGGGGGTGCTAGTTTTCGGTGTGCTCGGGTGTGTCTGTTGTATAATTGGATTAGCACTCGACGCTAATGGATCAACCCATGAGCTTGTCACAGGTCCAGAGCCTCGTCTTGAATTGGCAGCATTGTGCGCCATTTTTTCTTTAAAACCTTTAACAGAAGGAGGAAAATCTCCGAAGTGTGGACTTTCATAACTTAGGTCGTAATTTCTGAGGGAATATGCATTCACCAAAACTGGTGAAAAAATACCAGGTGTTTGAAACGACCCATTGAAGCTGTTCTGAAATGGCAGTCTCTGTTCATCACACGCATGCGCCATAGTCTCATTGGTTACATTCACATCCGGTTACGATATGGATCATGCTTCCGTCTAAAAATTAAACAAAAAACACAAATTATTGACGATAAAGAATCTTTTACGTACGTATCAGTACAACACCAAAATAATGATTTATAAATACAATTACTTGTTAATTCGAAGGTTTTCTACAATTCTGCTGCCAAGTTCGAAATACAGCATGTTTAACATAAACAAATTAATTTGTTAACATGAAATCACACGAAAATAGATCCAAATGATGATTTAAACATTGTGTTTGTAATTATGAAACAAACACCTGCGTTGTTCCCGGATGATGTCTCTAGCTGATGTGGTTGTTATTATAAACGACACACTGTTCGGGACATATACGGGATATAGTACTTTTTGTAAGCTACATCCACTTAAGTATCTACTTGAGATCCAGGCTGACTGCTATCTGCTGAATCACCCCCTATACTGAAACAGGTGGTTTACGTAAGATAAGATGAGACAAATTATGATATCGGGGAATGAATATTGCGGATTTATGTTTAAATATTCACGTTTCGTGTGAAATCCGTATTACTGTCAATTTAATTTAATTTAATTTAAATTAATTTCCAGAACTTTTGTGCACTGGATCAATCCGCCGTTCATATTCCTTCTAACGAGTATAAATTGAAAGCCGTTTCGTCATTTCAGCAAATCTTCAATTTTGAACAAATGTGACGTCACAATGTTAATGACGTCACACTTAATACCATTTTTTTTTACATCAATTATGTTAAAAAGACAAATTTGTACGATTTCATACTACAGTGTTTAAATGTATGTCTGGGAAGGTTATCACCCAAAGAAATATACAAACAAACACTTAGAAACATTTTATCTGTGTGATTGACCTCTTTCTACAATATGTATCAATTGCCGTATTGTTGTTAAATGTATGCTGATGAGTTTGAATAATGCCTGACCTTGACCTTATACAAAAATGTTACAGTAACCTTGACCTTCAGTAACAGGACGACATCCTTACAAGGCGCAAGCTGTATCTTAAATTATCTAAATAGGAACATAAAATCATCATTCAGTCATTTTATATAAATCGGAGTGAATGAACAAAACACGATTTATTCATCGCTGACCTAATGATATTTCTGTCATCACACACCTGTATTTAGATCTAATATTACCTTCATATAGGCCCTTTGATATTGGACTATGAAAACTGATAGAGTTATAGGGGACAAGAGAAAACACTGTCTCGCTCCCACATGTCTGACCTATACTAAGTGGCGATGTACCCTCGAGCTGTACACCTGACTGGTGACGGATCCGTGATATTGTTTATTGACAATAGACACGCGACTAGGCATATCATTCGGAACTAGCAAACACGATAACTTTTGTTACATGATATGCAGTTGTATTTTTTTTAAACAATTGTGAATTTCTATCGACATATAAATTTTGTACAAGGTATTTGTATTGAAAAGGTGGAGAAACACTGCTTTTATTTCTTAATGTGAAGAGATTCGCCTGATTTTTATTTACCATTGTTGTAAGGAATTAAATATTCAAGCTAAAGTATTGTATATATACATAAATTGTAAATGTATAGTAATCATACCTGTACAGGTGGGATATGTTTACGTCTAAAATGCTTTATTTTCATCTATATCAACCGTTTGCTTTTATAGTATGGAAAGATAAAAAATATCCCAGAACTTGCGGTCCATTGTCAGAATACATATACCACATATATTTACTGTATGCAGCGGTGAGGGAATACAACTGTATTTAAGTAAACGTATATTTATTTGACAGATTTAATGTCTCATTTCCTTAAATATAACATTTAGAAACACAAACAAGTTTATTTATGAAAATTCATAAAATTGCGGTGATAACCGTCAAGGTTTAGACAACATTTCCTAAACGTCATAGTTAGGTATAACAAAGATTAAACAACAAACTGTTGACGTTTCGATAGTCTGAATTTTCAATAAATGTTATAGGAGAAATAGAATATATGGTTAGTACCTTAAAATGTCATCTAAATATTGGTGTGAGTGATATATTACAAACTGTATTAGCATAAATTATATGACACCGACGTTCTAGAGGTAGGTGACGATAGATTTAATTATAAAATCCAATCGATGTGGTTTCACGACGTTTTCGAGATTTATTCCTAAAAGAATGAAATATTTCTCGATTATCCCCTTAAAACATGACATTTGCTTTTAATCTATATAACTTGTATATCTACATTTCTATGAAGGTATATGATTGATATCATTTGATTATTAAAATAACAACGCGAACGCTAAATTCTCGAGTGCTTCATCTTCAGACGACGCACACGTGTATTGGGTATAAGTAAATACGCAAAGTTCAAGTAACGCGCACATGTTTTAGTAATAACCAAACAAATTTCTCGTGAATCGTAAGTAAACACGTTACGCTCATGTGTATTGTAAGTCATACAAACGTGCATTGTATATAAACACATGACGTTCACAAGTATCGTTAGGCAATGCAACACAGGCGTACTTTAAGCAAACACATCAAAATCACGTGTATTGGAAGTAATGCGTCACATTCGCGTGTGTTTTAAAAACACGTAATACTCGCGTCTTTTGGATATAAAAAACTTTACACTTTTATTTTAAATAAACAACTTATTCTTACGTGTACTGCAAATAAAAACATTATTCCCACACGTGTTTTAAGTTAGTTAACAAGTTATTACACGTGTATTGATAATAAATACGTCACACTCACGTATATTCCAAATAAACGTATCAAACTTACGTGAAATGTAGATAAATACGTCACAGTCACGTGTATTGTAAATAAACACGTCAAACTCAAATGTTTTGTAAATAAACACGTCAAACTCAAATGTATTGTAAATAATTACGTCAAACTCATGTGCATTGTAAATAAACACGTCTTAATCTTAAATATTGTACACACATCGCAAATAATCAGACACACTTGAAGTTCTCGTGTATTTGTAGGTTAAAAAACATGTGTTTCGTGCGTTGTAAGTAATTAACCCTGTGTAGCGTATATTTACATGTATTAAAGAAACCAAAATATGCTTGTGTGAATTGTAAGTACGCGTGATCCTCACTTATATTGAAATTAGATATGTAAACCTTTCGTGTATTGTAAGAAAAAACGTCACGCTACAAGTGTGTACTGTGCCTTATAGTCGTACTTCGTTACCTTACTATCAAATAAGTCATTATTCCATTTCATTAGCTTTTGTAAATATTACTATAAATACAATACTCGAAAAGAAATGATTATTTTCTTCGCCAAAAAATAACAAATTCACAAAGTTGGCTGAACGACTCAATGAAAAGGTTAATTGTGAAATGGTAACTGTTGATAAACTCCAGTAGGTAAGTTCGCGAACAATGTAACAAAGTAGGCAGGCCTTAGTGTGATAACTAGATTGGATATCACAAAGAATGTCGCTTTCGATGTAAATCTATCGATAATTCGGATCATTGCCCTACAATAGTGGCTGTATACTGACACGACGGAAATCATTGTGTTCATAGCGTTCCGTACTTCACGTTGATATGTCACTGAAAATTAATTAAGATGCCAAGAAAAACAGCCTCAAGTTTTGTCAGACCAAATCGTTGTCTGTTCCCTTGTGATAAGCCGACACCCTAAAACACGTCCCAATACACATTGATGTTTCTCGGTCACAAACACAACACAACTTTGACAGAAAATTAAGACCACATCAACTTGTGATAAAAAACACATTACTTTGCGAGCTGATATTTGATGAAGAGGGCGTTGCCGTCACTAGAATTTCAGGACATGCAGTCAGGTTGGTAAAATCACACGACGAAATAGAAATATGTTGTTCTTTCTATATAGATCTTGAAAACGTAAGGTTTGTCTTGCCAAAAATACATTGCATCTAAATGTGATGAGGCTTTCTAGACATTGTCGCTGTATATAATGGAAGTTGGTTTTTAGCATCACCATTTGCAATCAGAAACTGGGAGTTGATAGGTCAAAAGTCACATATTTGTTAGTGTAGAAAGGACACATTCTCGTTATAAGTAGCACTTCTCGTCATTTCCTCTGTTAGAAAGGGGTTGGCTACCTTGGGTTAGTGTGTCGAGGGAACACTTTAGAAACACACAATAAACACTTGATGAAGGATGTCCAAACACAACGGGTCATAGTTATTATACGTGACGTAACAATGGACAAAGTAAGGGTTCCCAAAGTCTTAAAGTACAGAGAGGGTTGAGTGTCATCACACAAAGGTCAGTCAGTACAGAAATTAAAAATCAATTACTCATAATATGACGTGATTTAGTGGTAACACGAGCGGGGCAGGTCAAACAGTGTATAGCACGTAATCTTACAAATGTATTGAAGTATTCAGTACACAAAGACATGTCAAATAAAACAATTAAATGTTTAGTATTAAAAAAATTTTCTTACAGGAACATCAATACAGGGGGTGATATTATTAACTTAACAGAGAAATAATATTTTCTCTATTATACCCTCACTGTGAGATGAACCGAATTATAATTAATGTATATTTTTCATTTTTTTTATCATAAGTCGGATTCGTTGTATTTCTTGAAAAACGAAGAAACGTTAAAAGAGGAGAAAGGATAACAGTCACTATTTTCTTGAATCGATATATTTATCGTTATATCGACATCATCGTTTCGTTATTGTGACTGCTGTAAACAAATGCAGTGGTATCAACTGGCTAACATAGACTACGGCTGGCGGAGTTTTTCATACTGCTGAAGATGATTGATTACAAGGCCGGAAGGAGATGGCGTCAGAAATGGGTCTCAGCAAACTGGCGTCACAAGGAAAAAACGAGAGAACCAGACAAGTTTTCATATCACTGTCGGGCGGAGTAGTATTGATCACACACGTCATAATGAAGTTCTCTTTAAGTCACGGTGAGGTCACTCCCCCCTGGTTTATAGTCCACTTTCTGTTTTCGAGGACTAGATCGAACAAAGCGAGAACAATGTAATGTTGAAGTATATTGTTGGTAA